TTTAATTCCCATCTATATAGACCCCTCCCCAACTATGGATAATATACATGTAGTGGAAGGTCTAAGAAACTACCATTACACCGATGGGTTGGTCTTTGAGATGCTTCAAGGTTCTCAGCTGTTTACTTCGGTAACAGCCCATCCCAGCTACCCATTTAGAGATTCTAAGCCATTTGTAAACTAGGAAGCAAATTAACAGAAGTCAATGAGGTTTGCTCCTCAGATGCCTTTTGCTGGTGTTCTCGATGAAAAATAACTTCCATAAACTTCTAAAATAAAAACTGCTGGTATCTGAATTTCGCTTGCACATTTTTACCCTGAGAAGTTCCCTCTCCTTCATTATTCCCAACAGAAACATGAAGTCGCTGGTCTTCAATTCATTACATCCATTCCACCAGCGGCTAGTCACAAATAGAGAAATCACAATCTGCTTTTATTTTTATATAGCCATCTGCAGCTTTATTTACCGATCCTCCCCATAAGAAGAGCCTTTACTATATAGTGCTAAAAATACTATGGATACTTTCAACGTATTTACATTTTCACGCATGCTTTGTTAAAGCTCAGCTGCTAACACTGCCCAGTCTTTTGGCCTGGTTCAGGTGCATTCAAAAATTAGTGGAAATCCTGAAAAAAGAGCTATGAATATTCACTAAAGATGTTACATGGTCAAATAAAATATTTTTATTGCTGAATCACCAGTAGAAATGCATCTGGAGGAAAAACGGGATTCTCAAGAGTCCTTCAAATCAGGCGTACTTCCTCACATAGCCTATTTCTTCATTTTTTGGAGTGGGGACTTCAAGTCAGTGTTGTCCCTTAGCAACTGCCTGAACAAGTCCCTTCAGTTTTGTTGGTGAAATTTTTGGGAAATGGTTTGCCTTTGCCTCGTTCCTAGGGCTGAGAGGGAATGCCTTTTCCCAAACACCATTCAGATGGCTTCTGTGCCTTCGGTGCTACACCTTGATTTTTATAAGCAATGACTCTGTGATAGACCAGATTTAATAAATGAGTGGAAAATAAAACAATACATTCTAAAAACCAGCCTTGAGAACATCAATCTGGTTCCTGCATTATATGCCTTATTAGCCTAATGTAATCCATTTAAAGCTCAATTTATTCCATTTACATGCGTTTCTGGTCAACCGATGGCCTCAAGTGTTCTTAAAAGCTTCAGCGCGGCCTTGTTCAAATAGAAGTGGTCTGTTTTTTATTCTGTTCCACCTCCAATATTTTATCTGAATTGTTGTTTGCCTCTGTTCTGCCTCAGTTCCATTTGGGCACAAGCCATCTGAAACCCTATGACTTCTGCAGGAAATAACTAGGGGACTCTTAAGTCAACTGACAAAAAAGATACAATTATCTACTATTTCAGAATGCATTTTAACCATGCAAGGCCCATCAACATTTTTGCTTTAATTTAGCTGCTACTGCAAGCAATTGTGAGACACTTTTACACATTGCTATGCAATGCATCAAAGTGTGATTTAGACATAGTATGAATGAACATTAGTTAAATGTTATTTATTTAGTAAACTATGGTTAAACAAACTCTGTCTTGAAACAGATTCAGTCTGCTTTAAAGATCTTGCCCTTTCAAAGATGTCACTACTACATGAATGTTTAGATATAAGGTAGTCCTCGGCTTGCAACCATAACTGAGATGGCTTTTTCTGAAGGCTAAAGGTTTCTGGAAAAAACACTGTAAATCGTGGTCATGTGGCCACAGGATGCTATAAATAGGCTGGTTGCCAAATGCAATCACATAACTGTGAGGACAGCAGCCACTGGAACTTCAAATTCTGGTCATAAATGCCTTTTTTTGGTAAGCTGATGCTAAGCACCTAGTTATAAGTCAACTGTAAACTGAAACAAGTAATTTTGCCTGGGTCATTGGGTATCAGTAGGTTACTTGATTGATCAAATTTTTATTCTCCTTTTAAATTTCAATTTTATCTGTATTATTTATTTATTTGTATCATAGATAGTGTTTGAGAACCAATTTTGTGGAGCGGTTAAAGGCACCAGGCAAGATACCAGGGAACTGTGAGTGTTAATCCTGCCTTAGGCCCAAAGTCAGCCAGATGACCTTGGGCTAGTTCAGTGATTCTCAACCTGTGGGTCAGGACCCCATTTGGGGTCGATCGACCATTTCACGGGGGTCGCCAATCAAGGCTGTCCGCCATTTTTTCCCCCTTTTCCGGCGGGTGCCTTACCTCCCTTGGCCTGGGCCAGCTGGTGGTCGGCCTGCTCCGTCTCTGCTGCTTGCCAGCTACGCCTCGGCCAGCGCAGGGGGCGGAACCACGCATGCGCGGCGCTCCCAGGCAAAGTCCTCGACTTACAACCGGTTGGGTAGTCCTCGACTTACAACCGGTTTAGTCCTCGACTTACGACTGGTTTAGTCCTCGACTTACGACCGGTTGGGGTCGTGGCATTAAAAAGGTTGAGAACCACTGGGCTAGTTGCTTCTTGTGAGCCCTAGGAAGAAGGCAAGGGCAAATCACTTCTAAAAATATTGACAAGAAAATTGCATGGACTTGTCCTAGTAGTCACTAGGAGTTGAGACTGATCTGAAAGAATGACAGCAACAAAAAAAAAATACATTGTAAATTGCTAATTTAGATCATATAGTTACTTTTAATTTAATATTTATATTCTTTTATTTATACTATTATTATTACTACTACTACTACTACCATTACTATTTTATTCTTTAATAAGGCAAAAGCACATACTTTCAACCATCCTCAGTACCTCAAAGCTAAACCTGGTGTAATTCCACTGATGTATATAAGAAGATAAAGAAGTGCCTTATGCACACCTGATCTCAGTAGCACATTTTGTATTGCAAGTCTCCATTTAAATGCTACAGCCACTGGGCAGCCCAAATACCATTCTGGGTATGGCGTAAGGGTTCCTGGCCCAATCCAATTAACAGACTATTCCTCTACCCCAGGCTTGTCAAACTCACGATGTCACATGATGTCGCGTGACATATCACGACTTTTTCCCCATTGCCGGCAATGGGGTGGGTGCAGTTTCGGCGTGACGTATCCGGCCCATGGACCGGCAGTTTGACATGCCTGCTCTACCCTGGGAAAGATGCAAAATTATGGAATCAAGTTGTATAAGTTGTGGTGGCGCAGTGGTTAAAATGCAGTATTGCAGGCTAATTCTGCTGACTTCTGGCTGCCAGCAGTTCGCCAGTTCAATTTTCACCAGCTCAAGATTGACTCAGTGTTCTATCTTTGCGTTAAAATGAGGACCCAGATTATTGGGGGCAATATGCTGACTCTGTAAACCGCTTAGAGAGGGCTGTAAAGCAATGTGAAGCGGTATATAAGTCTAAGTGCTATTGCTATTGCTATAAGAAGCCAGAAATGGAAAAGAGCAAGCAGATTTTAACACCCTCGTGCCATTGTTACAACTCTGCTCCAATGTGCTGAAGTCTCATGGGATTGGTCAGTACAGCTGGAGGAACTGAGACCAAGTCCTGAATAAACATTGTTTCCTTTGCTCTTTCCCCTCCTTCAATACTAGATTTTGCTGGCTGGCTCAAAGAAATGTGTGAAAATCAAGAAGCTGTATCAGTGATCTTGTTACACTGGTTTCTCAGCCTTGAGAAATTGTAACAGCTTGATAAACTAAGTGACCTGCAAGCCACGTCCAATCTTGCTTTGGGCATAATGAGTAACTGTCTCCACCGTCCCTGCCCCCAGTGAGGATCATTCCAGAGCCTAGAGTGCAATGACTTCCTCAAACGCAGCTGTATGAAGTTGAGGTGGGTTTTTTTGGAGGGGGGGGGAATCTCTCTGCTTTAGTTCTTTGTCTGAGTATTGCCTAAGTAAATAAGATACACAGGTAAGGAAGGTCCGGAGCTTGTCTGGTCAGCAGTTTCAAAGTACAGAATATTACGCTAAGACTTCATTTTGCATCAGGATACGGTGATATAAGGTGGCAGATTGTCACAACGCCTGCCTACAAACAAAAGGGCTCAGCTATACATTTGAAATTCAAAGTTGGTCCTAGGATCAAATGACTTTTTTTTTTGAAATCTCAAAGAAAAACATTGTCATGTAACAAAACACAAAATGTCAGTGCTACCATTAACAAGGAAGAATTTAGGAGAAAGACAGTTTACACCTACTCAATCCTTTCAAGATGGGAAAGGGAGAGGGACATATAATGAAAAGTGTATCTCCAAAAGCTGGTGACTAGACTACACCATTTGCAATGATTACACCCGGCTTTTCAAGGATTGACTATTCCCAAGGAACAGAAGAAGAGGAAAGATACAACAGGCAACAGGAGAACATTCCCAATCCTATATTAGATAAAGCAGGCAACTGCTTTTCTTTGCAAAAAGCACGCATAATACAGTGCTTTGTACTTAAGCACTGCTTATATGACACCATCCAAATATTAGCAGAAGGAAACTAGAATCTTCAAGTAGGATGTTCTTTCCAAGAGCGCGATCTTTTAGCAAAACCAAGGTAAGATAGTCATTGGCATCATAGTGCTACAATTAAGTAATAGGACAAATAGCACCAGATAGAAATTCCTTCAGTGTCTTTCTCAAAAAATATTATATTTAAAACCAGTTATAGTCCCTGATTATCCTGTTTGTTTAGCCTTTATTTGCTGTAGAGGTTTCTTAAGATAGTTCCTCCCTACTCTTTTGTCTACTGTTTTTTTAAGACACTTTTCATCTTGTACCTTTAGATATATTCTTCCTCCTGGAATAACTTCTTTCAGAGTATTCTCATTTTCCCTTACCAAAGTTCTTTTTTACTATTAGTTTAACTCAGCAGTATGATGAACATTCAGTATGAGAAGACAGAATTATTGTGAACCTTCTTCCAATATAAATAAATGTCAATTTTATCCATCAAATAAGATTGCATGAAATTATTGTAGCTGGTTACCCACAATTTTTAAGACTGGTTGTGAAACACAAGGCAAACCAATCTATTTTTTTTTTACAAAATGTTTCCACTTACACCACCCATTGTAATTCCATCGATAAGTGCCACATATGGTTTCTTGCAGGTGCCTGTGAAAAATTACAGAACACATTATCCTACTTAAAATATTAGAATGCTCACTTATCTAAGGAAATGCATCTTTATAATGTGAATAAAATGTTCAGAGGAGTAAGTTAAAATATTTAATTTTTTTTTTTCATTGTTAAGAGCATTTTTAAATATATTTTATATTTAAGATGCTGGTTCTTTTTTCCATTCTTAATGTTTTGGGAGGAAAAACAGCTGTTCATTTAACCTGATTACAATAGTCATCTTGTAAAACACAGCAGAGAAATAAAAACAGGCCAGAATGAAAAAAAAAAGTTGGCAGTACCAGAATTAATAATCAGATTAAGATTGGGATGTGACGTTAAAATGACCTAAAAAAAATAATCATCCTAATTTTAAAGCCCTTTGATAAAGTTTCATTCTCCTCTGTTGTGTTTCTTGAAATGAATAGCTTTCACTCCTAAACATGAAAAGAATTCCCCATCAAAGATACCAGGCAGAACAGGTTTTATTGGCTTACACAATAAATATCTATTATCCTAAAAAAAAACAATTTTCACTGAGGAGATAAAGTCAAAAAAAGTTATTAAGGGGATACTATAAAAAGTACACATACCAATGGCATTGTTCAATGTGTATTCTTCTCTGAAAAAATATTCTGTTAATTTGTCTCCACATTTTCCTGCTTCAGTAATAACTGAAAAACAAAACAAATGTCAAAGTTAATGTTGACAACATTTAATATCCCGAAATATTCCTCATTTTTTCTTTCCTTCCGGCTTCCACAACTCCTTTCACAAGAGTTAGCAAATTCTGTTACTGAATGATGGTGCGCTGGGACAGGGGTCCCCAACCTATAGGCTGCAACCCGGTAATGGGCTGCAGGGTCTTAACCAGTGGGCCGCAGAAATGGCTGCCCGTGGTGCGCACATGTGTGTTATTTGTGTGCGCGCGCGCAGAGTAATTTGGAAGCTGCTCTCCCCTCCAAGGTTGGAGAACTCTGAGCTAGGATAGAGAGTGGATCACCCAAAATCAAATGAGGTCTAAGGAAATGGCTTCCTATGAGGTCCTCTCAGGTTTAAAGATAAGGAGTTCATGTTAATAGGCCATCCTGGCATAAGCACTGAATGGGGAGTAAGATGGCATTTCTTTCTTTAAAAAACAAGGACAAAGCCTTGAATTTTGTAAAAAATGTTCACATTCTCACCTTTTATATCACCCCCAGCACAGAACACTTTTTCACCAGCTCCCTTTATTAATATTAAGAAAGTCTCAGGATCCTGCTCCCACTTCTGAAAGAAATATTGTGAAAGACTATGTCAGAGCATTAGACATTTTAAATGTACCGTCTCTTCTTTCAAATTATGCAACACACATAATAGTCACATAGATCAGGGCTGGATTGTCCAGAATGAATAGAAAGCCAAAGCATTGGAACTGTTTGTAGCAGGCCTGGAAAACATTGTCTATTGTCAGCCTCACTCAAATAGACCAGTCCAAGAAATCAACTCCACAGGAAGGCTAAAACTACTGGCTATAAAAACAGAATCTTTTTGCTGTACCTACTCCCTCTTTCTATAATCCAGTAAAGCAGAAAGGTGTTTATCTGACCCTACCAAATTTTACCTCAATTCTCAGTCTTAAAAAAAAGTTTCAGTCTCTTTTGCCTATGTAACTGTTCCTGCATATTTCCATCATGGACATCCTGACTGTATACACTACCCTGCATTCCCAACCACTGTGTTTGCAGAATAAGAAATTGTAATTCAGCAATATATGGAACTCACAATTTTCTACCTATCGCAGTCCTAGGAATGTCTTTTTGAAAGTCAGTCAAATCTATTCGTACTCCCAGATAAAAATGTGTAAGGTAAAGTTCAGGAATAGAGTGTATAAAACTGAAACCTTGTAAATACTGCAGCTCTACTTATTGAACTATGGCCAAGGAGAGGCCTTTTCTGTTGGTACCTTTCGGAACATCATCCCACTTGAGATTAGATTGGGACTGATCACATACAACTTTTGGAAAGCTCTTATGACCTGGCTGTTCTGGGCATGGGGTCAGTAGGTGAGGTGTGCCCAAGTTAATTACTGTTGGATGATGTATTCTTGGTTGTAATTTTTTTCTTTTCTTTGGTTTTCTCATGTTATGATATATGTTTCTTATTTCTGTTATTTATTTTGTTGTTTGGAAGTGGCATTTTGCAAGATGAGCAATCATATAAATCAAATCAAATCAAATCAAATCAAGTAACACAGAGGATTGAAAGACGTTTTTTTTTTTCCTTCTTAGAATATCCATGAAAAAGAGGCTAGGAAGATTAGCACATTAGACCTCCATCTCTCCTCACCTTTTTCCACTATACAAGCCAGCATGATAGTTACATCCGTTCCTCAAAAAAAGCTGGTAAGAAAGTGAACCCACTATGATGGCCCAAATGGAGCTTTTCTCTGAACAGAGCATCCATACAAGCAAGGAGAAAAGCATACTGTTTCCATTTCTCCCTATCTCATAGGCTCCTCATTTTTCTGAAGGGAGCAGAGGATACCAAAGGAGGAAGATGAAGATGCTCTTGCAGTCAACATATTTTATCACAAGCCTCATAACATCATTACTATAATCTCAAGCCATGCCATGAATGTCCCACTGAAAACCTGTATTACAAACAGAACTTTCATCTCTCTTCAAAGCAATGCTTCTCCACAGAATCTGTTTACACTTTTAGTGGCAAAGTGTACGGAGCAATCAATGACAGCTTGACTGGAAGTGCCATCATTGTTTAGCTAGTCTCATATGTCTTCTGTCAAACCATTCATCAATCGTTTTACAGGCAGACCTCAATTTACAACAGATTATTTAGTGACCGTTCAAAGTTACAATGGCACTGAAAAAAGTGACTTTTTTTCCACACTTACGACTTTTGTAGCATCCCCATGATCATGTGATCAAAATTTAGATGCTTGGCAAAAGACTCATACTTATGACCGTTGCTATGCCCCAAGGTCATATGATCACCTTTTGTGATCATATGACAAGCAAAGTCAATGGGGAAGCCAGATTCACTTAACAACCATGTTACTAGCTTATCAACTGCAGTGATTCACTTAACAACCATGGCAAGAAAGGTTATAAAATGGGGCAAAACTCACTTAACAAATGTGTCACTTAACAAAAAATTTTGGGCTCAATTGTGATCATACGTCAAGGACTACTTATATTTTAAACGTTTTGGTACTGTGGTAACTTTTGTTTTAATATAAAGCCACCAACCTTTAACTGGGGATAGATCTGTCGAATCATGGAAATAGTAAATGCATTCAGAGCCTTTGGTCTGTTCATGGTAATAATGCCAGCACACCCTCTTTTTTCAAACAGAACCTCAGCTGAAGAATCCTTAGGCCCAGTCATACTCTGTATGGAATGACAAAGATCTTAAATAAGCTGATGCTTCAACGACAATCTGTAATTCTGTAGATCTTAAAAACATAATTAATCAGTACATACTAAAATTGCTATTTTTAAGACAAGTACTTTGAGCAGAAAACTGCAGAAGTACCCAAAATTGACTATAAGAACCTCCACTAATTTTAAACTGAGTACTCCAGAACATAGAACTCTTTTTTACATATCTTACAATACCTTGCTCTTAATTCATGTCATTCTAACATTGTCAAATATACTCAACTGATTACAGAATTGAATTTTGTCTAAGAGATTCCCTAGTTTAGTAAGTTTATAAGCCAAGGTGAAATCACTAGGAACCTGTCAATCTGTTTTATAATATTCTTCATTCTGCTTTATATATTTGGCTTGAATAAGACTAAATTGTTACTTTTATATTTTTAAAAAGCCATGTTGTTTAACTATCTGAGGCTCTTCAGATTTTACCCTTATCTCTTCTTGAAACAAAAGACTACCAGATGATAATTCTGTCAGAAACATTCCTTTATTTTCAAAAGTATTTTTCCTTTTGCTCTTTGGGAGTGAAGAATTAGTCTGTGCATTCTGGCTATTTTGTTTGAAACAAATTTTTATTCACCCAACTTGCGGAAATGTCCATACTCACTAAGTGTCGTAGTGTGATTTGCAACCTGTTGAAAGGCTTAAACCTGAAACAAGAAACTCAAGGTCAGACATATCTCTGCCACAGCAAATGTAAATACATAAAACAAATTATGTATTTTTGTTAGATATGTATTTCATTCCACTGCACATTTCTCAAAATGATACATCCATTTAATGTAGTTACAATTTTTCCAGTATACTGTACAAAGATTTTTTCTCTTCTATTACTCTGATACAAACAATATATAACTTCAAGAATACTGGCCAGATATATGGGACTTTACATGACTGTGGTATATTTTTGGAACCATTTTTTTCTTCTAATGTCCTTTCTCTACTGTTTCCCCCCAAATACTCTAGGATCTGGGATTCCATAAAATGATATAAAACATGTGAAATACATTTGTACTAATTAATAAAATCCATCTTTTTTAAAAAAAATTTATCCTGTCTTAATTATTTTTATACATAAGCCTTTTTATATTTTATAATATAAATTTATTCTTTATCACTACCATAATTTTCCACAGGAATGGATCTTATCCAACTAGCAACATACATATATACATATACATATATACACACACACACACAAAATTGAAAGCCGGATTCTCTGTTCCAATTTCCAAACAGGTTAACACAGATATATATGTTTTTGTTTATTTTATAGCAGGAAATTAACTGTCTCTGCATTTGGATGCAGGGCAAACTTCAATGGTCTCAGATCAAAGCTTAATCCTGCAATGCAAATTCGGTTGATAAATCAAATGTTTGCCTTTAGGTCCGGCAGCCAAGAAGGCTGCACCCACATTTGCACTGCTCAGGTGACCTTGAGGACACAAATAAACCTTCAAATGGCCTCAGTGACTCTCTAAAACGAATGCAAATGACCAGCTGTCTGCAAAGAATATAAATTCTTCCATTCCCCACCATCCAGAAGCTTCCTGGATGAGAAGCTAAACGCCTTCAAAGAAAAACAAGAAAGTCAAGTTGCCTCCTGGAAAAAGCACCTTTGGGTTTCCTTTACAGTTCAAGTTTCCTTAGAACTAGGAACATCGATTCAGCCTTTTATTACCATTTGCAAATGCAAGTGCAATGCGATGCATAAGATTTTTCACCGTTTTGGTGCTCAGAATCAGGACGACCGAAAGTTATTTTTGCTCGTTTGCAGCGCGTTATGTATTTAGAGAGGGAGCAACGGTAATCTACGCTCGGACGCCCAGCTGACACCGTCTCTCCGGTGTTGCTCTGCACGCAACATGAGACTTGATCTTATTCAAAACGGCAAGACTTCAATGATCAGAACTCCGAACTCGGTGGGACTTTTAAGTAAATGCCCGGGGAGAACGCGACCGCTCAGAGCAAGCGTCTACTCCATCCTACTAAGGTCGTCGAAACTGAAAGTAGCCTTTCCCCTCTGTCGTCGGAATCTACCTGGGAAGACACGTCCGCACCACAGCGGTCACCGGCAGCCCCATCACGCCACCGCCTGCTCACACCTCCCGCAAACAAGGAGCCGCCGAGAAGGCGCGCCCTGATGACATCATCCAAGTGCGTTGGAAAAGCTGAGCGCCCCTGCCGCCTAACACGTGTAAAGGAAGCTAGCAGAAGCTAAACTAAGCGAACCGGGGAACCGTCTCGTGCTCTGGAGCAGGAATCTCTGGGTTTGGATTAATTCTCCTGGCGCAGAAGCGGAAGTCTCTCACGGAGGGTAACTTTGTCATGTAGTCCACGTTTCATTTTAAGGATGGAGTACAAGAGGCATTCAACAATCACGCATCGCTGGCCATATGGCGGTGGCAGTTCGTGGTCGATTTGAGTTGACAGCTAAATATCCCTCCCCTGTTCCAAAACAGCTATTCATCTGTGCTTTCAGCGGTTCCAAAAAATGCATTTCAGGCATGGACATTTCACTCAGCCGTAGGGAAAAGCAGGCAAAGGCAACCCATTTCCGAAAAACTTTTACCAAAAAAAACTGCAGGAACTGTTACATCAGCTGCTTCCAAGAATCAACACTGACTGGAAGGGGTAAAAAAAAATAAATATCTTATTTGGTGGAGGAAAGAGTCAGCTGGTAGGATCAGGTCATCAATACGTCCGATAGAAATCTGGATCTTGCCCATATTCCCCAGTGTTGCCTTTCCTGATATGGGGGAGACCAATGCTAAAAAAATTAATTGCGCACAAAAAGAAGAGTTCCTAAAACCGGGAAGCACAGTATTGCTTTGATCTCGATTTTTGTGAATGAAATGACTTGGAAACATATTTCAGAGTTCTCCTTCAAAGAGTTCTGGACTGCTGTATAGGGCGACTCCTGGTGGTAACTGAAGCAACTGCGCTAACCCGAAGAAAGAAGATGAAGAATAGAATTAGAAGATTTCATAATGAATGATAGTATGAATCTGCTATCCATTGACATATATAAAGAAAAACAGGAATAGTGCATTAGGGCTTTTTTGTGTGTGCTTTATGACATGTTGTCAAAACTGATTAGAAATCAGTTTTTTAATAGTTTAGGAGGCAGCATCAAATGGTATTAAAAGAAATCTAAAATGATATTCATAATAATTAAATTAAAAGTATTGTATGCATCATCAAAAGCAACCATATATAATTCATAAATATTTTAGTTGGATTAGAAGCTATGCTAAAAAAAATTCAAAATTTAAAAATTCAATTCAAAATTACTGTTCCCATGGCTGATAGACTGGGACGTCCATTATGACATAAGGCCTTCCACTGTGACATCATATCTACTATGTCAAGTAGGTACCGTAACAGTGTTCACAGGAAAAAGGACACAGTTCTTTATCTATTTTGATGGTTTTTACTCACAGTTGTGTTGAATGTGAATGAGGGCATGTGTAAGACAATGAATCAGTAATACAGAAGAAGAAAACAAAACAGTTAAACATGTAAGTGAGATTTCTCATTATCTAAGATGGTCTGGAGAACTTATTAAAATTATTTTTAATTACTCTTTACCTTCAACTATAGGTACCAGAACGGAGCTCATACAAAGACTCCTTTCATGTTCCTTCACACAATAATAATCTTTTTATTTTTCTATTTTTAAAACATACATGTTTAACACAGATGGGGAAAAAAATGAGTATTCTCTGTATTTGTTATAATTGCTTTTCTCTGTGGCCATTTGATTGATGTACATCAAATCTGTTCTCTTAAAAATACAGAGGGATCCTTTTAAAGCAATTCTTCTGCCACAATAAACTATCATTGATGCAGTACTTATTGTACATATGAGGATTTCTTACCATTTTTGACTGGTAGGCTTTTAGCAAAACAACACTAGTGTTATGAGTTACTATGAGAAGTAGCTTTATTTTTCACCATAACATCAAATAAATTATTTTAAATAATCTGAATACCTTAATCTAAAGTTATTTGAAATGTATCTTTCATGGTATCTTGCAGGACTGGAGTAGAAAGCTAGGTTTACTTGCTCAAAAAATAGCAATTATGTCTTTCACTAGTAACCTAATTTAGGAAATCTAAATCCAATCTAGTTCCAGTAAACAGAGGGGTCATGTTGTTAGTTATCTGTCACATTCTTGTTGCCATGTAAAGCTATATGAAGTTCCATTTGATTTCAAACTGACTGGCTCAAGGGCTGTAATATGGGTAAGGGAGAAATAATGGGAAAAGCACATATGGACTCTGATTTTTTTTTAATGTTTTTTTTTTAAAAAAAATTTTTATTTTAATAATTTTAAATATTTTTATTATTTGGTTTTATTGTATTTTTTAACTGTATGCCATGGAGAGTCACATTTGTAAGATAGTGGCTATAATTTACTAATAAACATGATATACGTTGATATACGTTCATGTAAGATTTTCTTACCGTATTTAATCCCAAAAACAATAAACGGATGAAATAAGGCAATTATTGTCTTAATTCTCTATCTGAAGGGTACCCTCTCTGTGTTATGTCTGCTTTAAGGCTCAAGGAATAATAAAGACATTGATTATAGCCATGTTAAGAAATTCCCTCACTGGAGATCATTAATAATGGAGTCCAGCAACACTCATCCTTTTGAAGGCCAAACTGTATTTCTTTGATACCATACCAGAAATTGCAATATGAAACCTTCAAAGCTGGGGATGGAAATGCCATATTTATGTAAGTCAGAGTAACATGTAATCCACGAGGGCAGAGGTGGTAAGCTAATGAAAATGGGACTACAGAGACAGCTTTATTAAGAATACAGAGAGTGTGGTTTAGAATAATGATTTTTGAGTGATGTTTCTTTTGTTTCCTTTACTTCCCCCATAACATTCCTTTGCCTTCTAAGCATTTTAGGGCATTTTTATTGCTTCCATAATGGATCTGGGGAGCAGGTGTATAATCCATTTAGCCTACCTGGCATCATTTTTCATTTTCAACTTATCAGTTCCTAAAATCCCAAAAAATCAGATGAGACGGACAGAAATATTAGTAACAGGCTTCTCATATGAGATTTAATATTTGCAAATCAGATTTTTTTTTCCAATGAATTAGGAATTGGAATGTTGTGCAACACTAGACTTTAGCTCTTCTTTCATTTATGTATTTCATGTAACTGATTCGATTTGACAAGGGAAAATGAATCACCTCTAGCCTACTTTGGTTGATTTCTAAAGCTAAAAAAGACTGGCCCTGGTTATTACCTGGATAAAGGAATCTCCTAGAGATTCTGGTGGCGAACCTGTGGCACGCGTGCCAGGGCGGCACTCGGAGCCCTCTCTGTGGGCACACGTGCCATGCCCCGGAGATGGCAACCATCCCTCTTCAACCAGCCGCCCGCTAACTTGCTGAGGTCCCACGTGGCCGGATGCATCCCAGCAGGCTGGTTTCCCTCCCCGCTGTCCCATCCCTCCTGGCCTCGCATGATCTCCTTTTCCCAGGCACGACCCACTGCATCGCCTCCTCAGCTGTTGGCTGGCTGTCCAGCTAAGAGGCAGCTTCTCTGAACTTCTGGTGGCAGGCTGTGGAGCCCCAGAGTGCACCGGCTGAGGGGCCACCAGGCTGTGGCTGCTAACAGACACTGTTGGCCCCCATGTGCTCGCTGGCCTCTGTGTGCGGGGGCCGATGGTGTCAGGCAGGAGATGCCCCGGCCCCTGCTTCGCCCTGCGATAATGGCACTCCAGCCCTGCCTTGCCTTGCTTCGCCTCACCCCGCAGGACGAGCCTCCTGCCCACTGCCTCACCTGCCAGAGACCCCCTGGATCTCCCCGAACCCTGCCTGGCCCTCACAGGCATCCCTCCCCATGAGCAACATTGAGGTGACCACACCCACCTTGGCCACACCAGTCTGCCATGACCATCACAGCCATGCCCACCCAGTGGGCCATTCCCACCTGGCACCCGGTGATAAATAAGTGGGTTTTGGGTTGAAGTTTGGGCACTCGGTCTCTAAAAGGTTCGCCATCACTGTCCTAGAGACTCCAGATATATTGTTTAGACTCAGGAATAAAACAATAAAATCTGCCATAAAGCAACTGCAAACTACATTGCCAAGGAAACTGCAGGCTTGATTTCAAAGCACCTTTACCTTTCTTATTTGCCCAATAACTACACTATTGTCTCTACTTTCCTTATACCTGTAAATCCAGAAACAACTATATTTATGTTGCAGGTGCTATAATGTACGTCAATTTAAAGATGTAGAAATACGCTCATAAAATTCTCCATCTCTCTTCAAGAGTCAACTGATTTGAATTTCTGGCCAATTTCTGCCTATAACCTGTCTTGTAAAATCACAACCTATCTTTCAATATTTCATTAGCAGGGCTAATATCAATGTGAAAATACTATCCACCTATATTTTTCCACTTGTGCTTGCTCAAACATACCATCTGTTTTTAGTTCTCTTCCAAAGAATATTTTATCTTGTAACAGCTGCTCTGAAAGTCCTACCAGTCACAGAGGAGGAAATTTACAACAGCCACCCTTGCATCATGAATTCTACTAGCTCCTTCCCATTAGTTTATAGTTTATGCAGATCCTGTACATGTATAGTTTGAACAAAGACGATCAAACGCGAGACAGGAATATTTTAAAATAGGAAAAACTGCTTTTAAAATATTGAAAAAGAAGAATTATAAATATAAAGGAAGCTACAAGAACTTAAATTAGAGTTAAGTTGACCAACACTGATGCGTTTCCCACTAGGAACTTAGAATCACACAGGCATTACAAGATATAAGGTTTGTCCTCATTTTTCTTTTTTTAAAAAGAGGGAAAATAGTTATAGATAACTCTAGAACAGTGGTTCTCAACCTGTGGGTCGGGACCCCATTTGGGGTCGATCGACCATTTCATGGGGGTCGCCAAGCAAGGCTGTCCACCATTTTTTTGTCCGCCATTTTTTTTGTCCGCCATTTTTCCCCCTTTTCCGGCGGGTGCCTTACCTCCCTTGAGCTGGGCCAGCTGGTGGTCGGCCTGCTCCGTCTCTGCCGCTTGCCAGCTACGCCTTGGGCGGCGCAGGAGGCGGAACCACGCATGTGCGGCGCTCCCGGGCAGGGAAAGTCCTCGACTTACGACCGGTTGG